GCCAGCGCTGTGCTCCCGCCCTCCGCCGGCCCTCAGGACGGGGAGCAGGAAGCAGGTGTCCTCGTCCCGTTCCTCGAGCACATTCACTGGGACCCCACGCCGGACCACAGAGCCCATTTCTGCCCCCACACACGGCTCCCAGCTCGGGGAGCACTCGGCCTGAGCACGCCCCGAGAAACAGTGGGGGAGCGGGGGAGCTTCCTGCCCTCTGGAGTAGAAGGTTCTCTCCGGAACGGTGGAGCCCTCTGCCTTCCCAGGATTCAGGCAGGGGGCTCCTGAGTGTGACGGTGCAGGTTCCCCAGGAGGGACGCTGTGCTGTCTCCTTGTCTCTTAAACACACTGTGGCAAAGGCTGAAATCCCCCAAACCTGGGGTGGGGATAAGCACCGCGTGCCATCCCCGGAACAGCCTCCTTCCCAAATAAATAAAGCCACACAGCCTCACGGCCCCCATGCCTGAAACCTGCCCCCTGGCGCTCCATGTGGCCCCATAGAGACCAGTGCTGCCCTCCCGGACATCGGGAAGCCCTAGTTTGGGTGCACTTGTAACTCGGTCCATCCATACAGCAAGGAAAACTTCGGCCGCGTGGCTGCTGCCTGGGGGCGTGGTCCCTGGGTCTCCAGGTCCACACGCTCCTGGGATCCCAGAGCCAGCTCCCCTGAGGCCCGGCCCCTGCCCTCTCTCCTCCCTCTGAGTCCTGCCCCATGGGACACCGTGGCCCCCTGCGGCCCCCTTTCCTCTCCCCTGAGCCTCAGGCACACACCCCCTGTGACTGCCGCTCACCTCGCTGCCATAGGGGTCCGGGTGCAGGGGTGCGGCGGGGAGAGCCCTGCTTTCGTCGTCCCCCCGTGAGCCTCGGCCTTGAGCCTGACCATCCCGGGCCTTTCTGCCACTCTCTGCCTGCCTCGGCTCTCGCTCACATGGCCTGGCCCCCGCCACCCTCTCGGCGGCTGGGTGGCAGCCAGGGTGGCCATCCAGGGCGTCTTTGTCGTCCTGCCGCGCCACTCTTGAGTTCCGAGTGGCCCCGGGCTCCCTGGAGCCGTGCCCGGCGCTTGCTCGAGTTTCCGGCGCTATCCGGGGATCTGTCGGTGGAAGACGAAGGTGCCGCTGAGCGTGGTGGCCATGCAGCGACGGCAGCGGGGGTTCCCGCGGTCAGCCGCCAAGCCAGAGCTGCCCCTGACACAGATCAGACCTTCGCTCTGTCTGCGGGCCGGGTGTCCGGATGGTTGATTCACCGGGGCTGATGAGAACGTCCCGGCCCAACGTGAGAGTCCAGCGTGACCTCTGGCTCCAGAGCCCAGGACGGCACGCTGGCCGCCGGCCACTCTAGACCGAGGCTAGACTCCGGGCTGGGGGGGTGGTTTCTGTCCTGCTGCGCAGTGGCCCAGAGCGAGCCCTGAGCTGAGGTGCCCACTCCCTGTCCTCTGCTAGCCGCTTCTCTTTTTCCCTAGAGACCCCTCTCATTTTGGGGGGGGAGGGGAACACTCAGGGGTCCCTCCTGGTGGTGCTCGGGGGACCCTATGGGATGCTGGGGATGGAACACCGGGTGGGCTGTGTGCAAGGCAGGTGCCCTCCCCTCTGTCACTCCGGCCTGAAGACCACTTCCACTTTCCCAGAGCTCTCAAGGGCCTCAGGCCCGGACACTCGCTTCCATGGAGGAACGAAGACTCCCCCGAGCCCCGCGCTGCCCGCCCAATGTACACACCCCAGCCATCACAGAGAGCAAACATGTTCCTCAGCCCATGCTCCAGGCTGGACAAGGAACCCAGCGGATGGAGACTGAGGTCTGACATCCTGACTGACGTTCCTGAAACTGAACCCCAAGTCAGAGCATGTCCCAGGCCCAAGGCACGGTCCTCTCCTTGTGTAAGACCCGGAATGTGCTCTCTAACACTCCAGAAACACAAAAACACAACTAAGAAAATGTGTGTCTCTCGTGCCCACTGACACCAAATAAAACCTTTCATCTTGGCCAAGGAGATGGTCTTTATGGCTGCAGGAGACCTGGGTCCAGCCGGCAGTGCCTCCGGTCCCCTGCGCCCCGAGCCAGAGCACAGGGTAGTTGGGAGAAAACACAGGTCAGGAAGACCAGAGCGATAGCACAGAGGGAGGGTGTTTGCCTTGCCCACCGCCAATCCAGGTTTGATCCCCGGCATCCCATATGGTCCCCTGAGTATTGCCACGAATAATTCCTGAGTGCAGAACCAGGAGTAACCTTTAGAGCATGGCCGGATGTGACCTAAACAGCCAAAATAAATAAAAATAAAAAGGTATCTTAGCTCTGTGAGAAGGGAAGGAAGGGAAGGAGGGAGGGGTCAGAAATTAATGATGTCTTCCCTGTCATTTATTTACTAGAGATGGGGTGGGTGTGTGTGTGTGTGTGTGTGTGTGTGTGTGTGTGTGTGTGTGTGTGTGTGTGCGTGCGCACGCGCGCGCACGCGCATCACAGAGAACAGCCCCAAAGCTACACATAAAACACTTCTTTTCTTTTCCTCAGATTTCTGAGGTCTTTATTTATGTATTTATTTTGCTTTTTGGGTCATACCTGGCAATACACAGGGTTGCTCCTGGCTCTGCACTTAGGAATCACTCCTGGCAGTCCTCGGGACCATATGGGATGCTGGGTATCAAACCCGGTCATCTCCCTGCAAGGCAAGCACCCTCCCCACTGCACTGTCCCAGCAGTGGCCCGTGAAACTTTCTAGCAGCTCATTTGCTCTTGGAGAACAGAGGCAGTGGTTCCCCCCACTCCCTGCAGTGCGGGCATGGTGGGTCCTGGGTGCTGTCAGCGGTGCCGGTGCGGCAGTGTCATCGGGGTGGGTATACCCAGCACGATGATTGGATTTGGTTTAGTTTGGAGACCACACTCGGAGATCTCCGGGGACCCAGGTCCATGCAGTGCCAGGGATCGAGCCTTGGGGGTCCCGCATGGCAGAGCTGGTCGCTGCCACCCTCCCGGTCGTCTCCACGGCCACCCCAGCCCCCTTTTACTTTCTTGCCCACTTGTCACTTGCAGAATAGTTTACTCTGGGGTTAGAGGAGTCTAGCTGCTCCGAGATGACACGCCGTGGCAGGTGGGGGGACGCTTTGTGGTGTCATCTGAGGTGGGAGTGGAGGGTACCTTCCCCACATCTGCCTGGGCCTCCGTGGAGGGTGCTCTCACCTGTTAATCTTATGTGCTCGGGGGCTAGTGGCACCCCCAGCGGTGCTCGGGGCTTACTCCTGGCTCTGCACTTGGGGATCACTCCTGGCGGAGCTCAGGAAACCACGTTCAGGACCAGGGATTCGGACCCGGTCCTGTTTATAATGCTAGACCAGGACCGTGCCCGTTGGACGGCTGCTCTGGCCCCTGCCTGGTTCCTCCTTCCAGCTGGATCTTGCCAACTTCTGTCGAAGCAGGAAGGCCGGTCTACTTGGTGCTGGGGGCTCCAGCCTAGGTGTCTGTCCTGGTTAGACAGATTCTTCCGGAAGCGTTGGCTGGACCTTGCCTCCACTCAGGGGCTCTCCCCAGCCCTGCCCCATCCTGCCCGGCCCTGAGCCCATCATTGCTGAGGAAGGTCACCGGCTAGACGTGCTTCTCTGTGTGGCACTGCCCCAAGCTGTGGGAACTGAAAGAGGCCGTGGGCGGGAGTTGGTCAGCCTTTTACGAACACCTCCACTTCCTCCTCCGGCCCCTCATTCTCTCCTGGCCCCAGCGCCAGGCTTGCTCCAGCTGGGGGAGGGGGGACACCCCACCCTCCTAGCTTGTACTTCCGCTTCTCTCAGCCCCCTGCCTCGGGGTAGCCGTGTGGTCCGCTCCTGGCCAGCGAGGTCCCGGCACCTGCCCAGAACAATGCTCAGACCCACCCACAGTCAAGCCACCACATTAGCAACAGACCCTGGCGGGGCTACTGTAATGTCACTGTCCTTTCTGGGGGAGGGTGCGGGGGCCACTCCTGGCAGTGCGCAGGACTGGCTCCTGGCTCTGTGCTCAGGGACCACTCCGGACGGGACTTGGGGAACCGTCTGGGATGCCGGGGATCGAGCCTGCATATGCCGCGTGCGAGGCAAGCGGCCTGCCCGCTGTGCTGTCGCTTTGCACTGAGCGGTCACTTCTCAGACTGACTTTCGACTCAATGCGTGCATATGCCCGTATGCTTGCATGTCCGCGTATACACGCATGTTTGCATGTGTGTGCGCACACTCATGTGCTCTCCGCGTCTCCCACCTGTAACCCGCCCAGCTGGCATCGTCGTGGTTCAAGCCTGTCTGCCCTGGCACTCATCCCGAATCCCTGTAAGCGGTGGAGCCAAGCCCCCTAGTCCCCCACGATCCCCGCCCCAGGGCCCCGCTCAGACCCTCCAGAGACTGCAGGATCCAGGGAGCCCCCCATACCTCCCTGTTCGCGGCCACCCTTTTCCGGCCTCCTTTTCCTCCTCCTCAGCCTGGGGCATCCTCCTGACTGCCTGGCCTTAGTCCCACTGCCCCGCGAATGGGGACCAGGTAGCCAAGGGGCCACCTGGCCCGAGCCACAGTCCTGCGCTGCGCCAAGGCCAGGTCAGGCTGGAGCCAAGGACCCAGCACCAGAAGACAGTCCCCTCCCCAGGGGCAGGGAGGAGGCCTGGGGCTGCCTGCAGACCCCCGCAGGCATCGGGGCAGCACCAGGGAACTGAGAACCTGCCCCAGTGCTGGACACAGCCGAGGGAAGGCCCCAAGGCACCGCCCAGGCCTCCCTCCCCGCCCGTGAGCTGAGACTGTCCCCTCTGGTCCCCAAGGAGGAGGGGAGCGGCACAGGCGCCCTGGGCAGGCCGGGGACAGACGGACAGAGCTCAGGTGGCATCAGACGCCACTCTCTCGCCCTCTCCGCCTGGCGAGGCCTGTGCCGGCCGCACTCAGGCACCCAGGGCCCCACCTGCACTTTCATCCACTCTCTGGGGAGCCCCATGACCCTGGGCGGGGGCCCCCTGTCCCCCCACCACCTGGGCCTCGGGAGAGTCTCACATGGCCTCACTTCCTTTGCAGAAGTTCCCGGAGCTGAAGTTCAAGTACGTGGAGGAGGAGCAGCCCGAGGAGTTCTTCATCCCCTACGTGTGGTCCCTGGTGTACCACTCGGCCGTGGGCCTCTACTGGAACCCGCAGGACATCCAGCTCTTCACCATGGATGCCGACTAGGCGGCCCGGGCGTCCTCAGGCCATGCAGATGTCTCTTCTCCCAAGATCACTTCCAGGTGGCTGCCGTCAGGGCGGCCCCGGGCACTGCGCCCCATAACGCTCGGGTCCCCAGCCTGGGTGCCCGTCGGCGGTGGGCAACTCAGCCCAAGTGAGGCGCACAGGGCAGGGGCGGGGCGGGGGGGTGCGCAGAGGAATAAATGTGAAAACTCACCGTTCCACACGCCGCCTCCTTCCCCTTCAGAATCCCTGGGCGTCCGCACGCTCCACTGGCCCTTTTCATCGTGATTTTTGCATGCTCAGGATTTTCCTTCCCCCCCCTCCGGTCTGTGGCGCGTTTGTGCAACTCCGTCAACACCAATTGATCGGCGTGAGAAGGAGGCCAGGGGGTGAGAGAAGGGCTGGAGGCAGAGGTGCCGCGGTGCCAGGCTGTGGAGAAGGGACCCCCTCCAAGGAGGAAACGGCTTCCCCAGGCCAGTCCCGGCCTCTCCTTGTGTAGACGTGACCTCTGAGCTGTAGCCGGAATGAAATTGGAATCGAGCACAAATTAAGTTAATCTACCCCTTATTAATCACTGGGAACAGGAAAGGCCGCATTTGGAAAGCGTCTTTCCCCACCACCCAGACAAACGGGAGTGGGGGAGGGAGAGCGGGGAGGGGCAGCTGTGAGTGATTGACTCCGCATCCCACACAAGGTAGAGAACACGGTTTTCTCGTCATCTCGGGCTTTGCAGAAAGTCGGGGGGAGGGGGTGGGGGCTGGAGCAATAGCACAGCGAGGAGGGTGTTTGCCTTGCACACGGCCGACCTGGGTTCGATTCCCAGCATCCCATATGGTCCCCTGAGCACTGCCAGGAGTGATTCCTGATTCCTGCCCTGCTGCTGGCCTGTGCCCCGGGAATGCCCCTTGGAGACCCGAGCTCCAGGCACCCGCACAGGGACCTTTGCCAGGGGATGAGCCTGGCAGGCTAGTGCCGCCCATGCTGCAACCGTGACCGGGGACCGTGAGTCCCCTGGAGACGGCGGCTCTGCTGGTGGCTGAGAGGCGGTGGGCCCTGTCCTTCTGGTCATCTCCGCGGCCGCCCCTCCTGTTGCCAACACGCACAGAGGGGTCGGGCTTCCGTCTGTTCCTGGGCGTTGACTTGGCCCGTAGAACAACACAGCGGGTCCCATCGAGGCAGAGCCCGGGGCAGGCACCGAGCCCCCGCCCTGGTCTGGGGACGGAGGGGACCGGCCTTTGGATAGTTGGTCCCAGAGGCCAGAGGACCACAGCTGCCGCGAGGGAAGGAAGCCACAGCCTCCTCCGGGGTCTCTGAACCCACATGGTGCCTCCTCGGGCCCCCGTCTCCAGCTGAGCCCTACCCCCGGGCCCCCTGTCCCCATCAGCCACCCACTGGACATGTCCAGCTCCAGTCCCAGCAGAGGAGCCCAGCAGACGCCCCCCCCCCCCAGCACGGCCCCCTGCAGGGCTCTCTCTCTCTCTCTCTCTCTCTCTCTCCCCCCCCCCCCCCCATGAAAGGTGAGTTACGTGGCAGCCGTGTTCCCGCAGCCATGGCTCTCATTAAGCGTGTGGGCATGTGGATCGCCTTGGAATTATTCTGCTGCCCACCACACAGACTGGACACTCATGTGTCTGGAAGTCAGTCGGCATCTGATTCCAACCCGGGGTTTGGAGCCACTGCTGGTGTCTTCAGTGCAGACACCTGCCAAGGTGTGTGATGACAGGGAACCAGCACCCCCCAGTCTGGGCCTCACAGGGCAGCCGAGCACAGCAGGCCGGGGAGACACAGGCAGCTCAGGGACAGAGGCAGAGTGGACGCGGGAGACCGGGGTCCCCTCCCCAGGACTGCCCACTATGTGCCCTGGACACCACGCTAGGCGTGGCCCCAGCACCACCAGATGTGACCCTTCCCCAATGAAAGAAGGTCCCTGGAGGTGACGCAGGGATGGAGGGATGACAGACAGCCAGTACAGACAGCCCGGCCCTTGCCCCCGGGAGCAAGTGACCGGAAGCAGCATCACCCCGCACCCAGCGCCCTCGAGCAGCTCACACATGCGTGGGGTGACATGTCTGGGCGCCAAGTGCCTTCTTGCACCCCGACTTCAGTAGCCAAGCATCCTGCGGGTCCTGGGTGGGGCACGAGGTGCCGTGGGCTGTGCCGCCTCCCTGTCGCCCGAGCCGGATGTAAGCCAAGGTTCCGCATTCGCTCGAGGCCCTGAACCTCCCACTCCCTGGGGCTCTGGGCCTCCCCTTGCCATAGATGCCGCTCCGAATTAGAAGACCTCTGACACCAAAGCCAGGTGCCACCCCATGGCCAGCCGAATGCCAGCACCCTCTGTCGCCCTCTGTTCTCTGGCTCCCGTGACTGGGGAGCACTGGTAGACGATGGTCCTTAACCCGTGGGGAGGACGGTGAAGGCTCCCAGTGTCAGCTTATTAAGGTGCCGCCACTGGGGGTGCCCCAGAACCAGAGCCACGAAGACTTAGCAGCCGCCCCACCCCGTGGCCACATCCGGATTTCCCGACTTTACAAGGGTGTAGGAAGTGGTAACTCCTCAGACAGCCTCGGAATGAGCCAACACCCCAGCGAAACAGGCCCTGCCGCTGGCCACGCAACAGCCGCCCACGGCTGGGGTGCGTTTGCACAACACGGTGGGTGACCCGCAGGTCAGGCTTCCCCGGCGTCCCTAGCCGGAGGGGTGGGTTTGGACAACTGAGGCCTCCAGCGCTCTCAGAAGGTCCCTCCCGGACATGGCCCCGGCGACTCCAGGAAACTCCCCACAGTGTGGGCCCAGATTGCTGTGGGGAAGCCGTACCCCAGCTGTACCCCCAAGTGTTAGCGTCCCACCCATATACCCTCACCCAGAAGAGGAGGAGTCTCCCCGGGGAAACAGCAACTCCAGGAGCCCAGAAGCCTCAGTATCATCCGAACTCCTGGTGTCGGGGGTGGAACCAGGAGTCCCGGCAGCTGAGGCCACCCAGACCGTGATGCGCAGCTAGGACGGGAGCATAAACCAAGGCAGCAGGCTTCATCCCAGCGTGCCCAGGGCCCCAGCAGGCCAGATGCGGGAATTCGCCTGGATTTTTTTTAAAACGATCAGTGGGATCAAAGCTTGCCCCAGCTCTCGGTCACAGAATTCGAAACAGGCCCACCTCCCGTGTTCAGAATATATATATATATATATATATATATATATATGCATGCATGAGGCACCAGTTCAATCCCCAATGCCATGGAACCCTCGGCACCTCGCTTTCCCACTAACACCACCTGGTGTGACTCCCCCCCACACACACACCCCCCACACACACACACAAATAAAGGTCAGATGTTCTAAAACAAATAGTTTCACACCAGAATTGCCTAGATCTGCGTTTGGGGTTGGGGGCCCTTTCTTTTACGCCAGAGGCTGCTCCAAATGCATCGTCCCCGCGTCCCCACCGAAAGCGGCACCCCAAGGAAGTGACGCTAATGAAGGAGGGCTCTGAGGGGCGTGAGGAAGCCACGGCCCAGAAGCAGGAGCACGGCACCCCGCGAACTTGCTGGAGAAGCAGAGACGGGGCTTTGCAAGGATGGGGGAAATGAGGCACCATCCAGGAGGGTCAGAAAAGAGGTGCCTGTTTTTTTATTTTTCTTAAGATTTTCACTATTGAGGGGGCTGGAGAGGTAGTACAGTGGGTAGGGCATTTGCCTTGCACGCAGCCGACCCAGGTTCGATTCCCAGCATCCCATATGGTCCCCTGAGCACTGCCAGGAGTAATTGCTGAGTTGCAGAGCCAGGAGAAACCCCTGTGCATCGACAGGTGTGACCCAAAAAAGCAAAAAAAAAAAAAAAAAGATTTTCACTATTGAATCACTGTGATAGACCCTTACAGAGCTGCTCCTGATCACGGTTCAGTCACACAGTGTCTCAACACCCATCCCCCACCAGTGTCCACTTCCCAGCGCCAGTGTCCCCAGGTTCCCTCCCGTCACCTTCCCTCTACGGCAGGTGCTTTTCTTCGCTCTTTCTCTCTTTAGGAGAAGTTTCTAGAGAAACTAAAGAGGATGAAGAGCTCAAGAGTAAAAGCTCCAGTTGGGGCTGGAGCGATAGGGCAGCAGGTAGGGCGTTTGCCTTGCATGCGGCCGACCCGGGTTCGATTCCCAGCATCCCATATGGTCCCCCGAGTACTGCCAGCAGTAATTCCTGAGTGCATGAACCAGGAATAACCCCTGTGCATCAACGGGTGTGACCCAAAAAAACAAAAAACAAAACAGTAAAAGCTTTTCAGAGACAGGCCCCCTTCTGGGGAAGTCTGGGCAGCGTCCCACTACAGAAGCAGCTGGAGAGAAAGCCGGGCGCGTGCTCCGTCCTGGGGCTTCTACTGATGTCACTTGGCCAGGAAGCCCCCGTCCGGTGACCTGCCACCCAGGGGACCCCCTCTCCCACCACTGTCACTCCCGCCTGCCCTGAAGAGTCTCCTTAGAAGCTAAAGACTGTGAGTCGCCACGGGTGAATGGAGAATGGGCCCAGCCCCAACGCTATCCATGCCGCCAGCAAGAGAGGCTCACAGAAGCACGAACCCCATCCCCCTGCTCACTAACAGTGCTCATAGTGGACTGCAGCATTAGGTGATGTGGGTGGAATGCACAGAACAGGAGCCTCGAGAGAACAGCGTTGGGGCTAGAGTGATAGCACAGCAGGGAGGGCGTTTGCCTTGCACGCGGTCGACCCGGGTTCAATTCCCAGCATCTCATATGGTCCCCTGAGCACTGCCAGGAGTCATTACTGAGTCCAGAGCCAGGAGCAACCCCTGTGCATGGTCGGATGTGACCTAAAAAAAAAAAAAGAACAGCGTTTTCCCCCCTCCTGCTCAACCCGCCAGTGACGAGGCCCGGGCCCCCTGATGGGGGTGTTGGTGGCCGCCCACGGGGCCCCCCAGCCCAGCAGGACACAGAGCGTCGGGGCTGTGGCCGAGCACACGTCTGCATCTGCAGTTCAGGAAACACAACTGCCCTCGCAGGACGCACGGCAGGCTTGGGGCCCCAGGTTTCACACGCACCCCAGAGCCAGGCCAGGAGACCGCCCGGAAGGGCCCAGAGAGACACAGGCGGGGGCCGGGAAGGGGCACAGGAGCCAGGCCCAGGGAGGGGGTAGATGGTGATTGAGGCTGGGGCACAGCA